CCTTCTCCTTCTCCTTCTCCTTCTCCTTCTCCTTCTCCTTCTCCTTCTCCTTCTCCTTCTCCTTCTCCTTCTCCTTCTCCTTCTCCTTTTGTGATAGATAAAAACTTGAGGCTTTTTTTTTCTTTTTAAAATCTTTTTTCTTTAAAAACAGGTTTTCCAGAGTTTGAGCCAGATGTTCTATTTGCAATGGTGGGCTAATTCACTTAATATTAGCCTGGGAGTCACCAATGTAGTTATTTTTACTAGTGTTAAGAAAGTTACTCATTCAAGTTATCCAATTACCCTAACAAAAGTCTCCATTGAAAAATGTCTGATTAGGCAACTGATCTTTAAGTGGATAACTGTTCTAGTAAAAGACTGAATCCGGACTATGGAATGTCCCTGGTTTTTTTTTTTTTTTGGTTTTTTTTTTGTAATATTTTCTGAGACTTTGTCAGCATCTTTCCTTAAAAACATGAAGCCATACAGTATCAAGCTGAAATCTTTCAGAAAAGAAAGAAAAGATGTAATGGCCATCACCAAGAGGAAATATGACTTTAGGGCTCTTAACTTACTCCCTACCATATAGGGAGAACTAAAAAGGGCAGAACTTGCAAGCAGGAAGCTTATAATCAACACTACAGAGGACCATTTCTAAGTTGGATTTAATTGCAAGTAAATATTTTAAATGCTACTTGGCTAACAGAAAAGAGCATTTCTGGACAATAGAGAGGCATATTCAGTGTCATATGGGCCCGTCATTTGAACTGAACTGCGAAATCAGTACCTTGGCAGGATTATAGGACCTGACGCAGAAGCAAACCAGGCCTGCCTGAGATATTTTATTACTTGAAGGACTTCAACACATGACACCATCTGACCTTATTTCACCTAAGTCAGATTGCAAAATACTGAGATCGATCAAACTATTCAACATTTGAGGAAGAAAAGATTCTTTTGTATATCCCTGATAGTTTTTTTAAAAAAAGATAGTTGTAATAATCTTTCATGACACGCAACAACTGTGACATGAGACTGCTGTCTCACTCTGCTTAATATCAGAACCGGCTCCAAGGATCATATAGCCATGGGCCTACCCTGATCCTTCTTTTCATTGCTCAACATCTCATCTTTCTGTGTTAACATATTCAGGATAGACTCACCCAAGAAGTCTGATATGTTACCGGAAAAAGTGTAGTTGATTATAGGAGACTTCTCTATTGCTTCCCATAGGTCTGAAAGATTTCTGCCTATGAAGAAAAAAATGTGGGGAGATGAAAAAGTCATTGCTTTGGGTTCAATGATCACTATATCTAGTGGCAAGGAAAAGCCAATAAAATATGCAACTTCCTGTTCTCCCCCAGAATTAAAGAAGCAGTCGTCTTCAATACTCCTTTCCTATAAGATCAGTTGGGGTCAGGCAGCATCAAAATCAAATCAAGAAAGAGGCTTCAAAGGAATGCTTGAAGATGCTGGCTGAGGGCCTCTACCACATGCTGTTCTGACTGCCTTCACCAAAAGGAAGGGGTGAAAAATCATCTTGGAGAATGGGGGTGAAATCACAAGAGCAGAGGACTCTAAAGAAGATCAGAGGAGATTGCTGAGATTATCTGCAGCAGGAACCTGAGCATGACAGGATTGCAGAATTTGGACTCCCCTAATCCAGAGCAGGAAATGTCATGACCTCTGCAGAATTTAAACAAAATGCAAAAGGAAAAAGGAGGGGATCTAGCAGTGTTTCTCAACCTTAGCAACTTTAAGACAAGTGGACTTCAATGCCCAGAATCCCCCAGCCAGCATGGTTGGCTGGGGAATTCTGGGAGTTGAAGTCCGCTCATCTTAAAGTTGCCAAAGTTGAGAAACACTGTTCTAGCAAATGAATGTTTTAAGGCTGTCCTCCTCCACTACAGCAGCTATTTTGTGCAACACTTCCTCCCACATTTAAAAAGACTTCTTTACTTTGGGCTAGGCGCTATACCTTGTGTAAAATGGTACGGTCCATACCTGGGGTGGGGAGGAGAGATGGATTGAGAGAGAAGGTACCTACATACATGGGGTTCAGCTCAAAGCAAAACATTCCTGAAATGAAGAAGCGACTCAGGTTTACCTATTCGTCCTGACATGACACAAATGTAGATGCAGTTTGTATCATTACTCTGGCTCACTGAAAGACAGAGAGTTATTTCGTTAACTTATTTAAGGTCCCTTAAACTGGAAATAAAATCCAAACAGAAATTAGTTTTCAATTCACATCGTGAAGGAAGTAACAAAACCCTTAAAAACAAAACAAAACTCTCTGAAATTCTAAAATCAAGACATCAAAATGCTGCTAATGTTGAGGGATAACAAGAAACAAATGCTTATTTATAATTTCCCAAATGCAAAAGTAAAAGCTTTGGGAGACGGGTCACGCCCAGCCAAATTTTCCTGAAATTACCTTCTTTAGTTGGTCCTATAGTTAAAGGACTGAATGGAATGGAAATTGCTGGCTTGTTTCTGCTGTGGAAAGCCATCCTCCATGGAATTCAAAGAGGCTTACTCTTGAGTAAGTTCTTATCTGGATGCCAGCTCATTAGAAGAATTTGGGACACAGGAGAGACAGACTGTTTGCCCACCACAAACTCAACACCGCACAAAAATCAAGGTTTGTACAGCTGTGTTTAAAGGGAGCCTGACTTTCAGCTGATAATCAAGCTCTGTCTGGACATAGGTTTAGTGCTATTCTAGATGAACAGGATTCAGGATTCAACCCTAGTCAGTTTATCTATCAGCTGCTATTCAGCTACTCTTTGTAGACACTTACATAAAACACTTGTGCAAAACCAGAACAAAGTTTGACAGATGGCTAAATCTGCTGTCGAGCTACCTGCCAAAATCTAACTTCTTCCCAACCTCAGCTCATGTTAAGGAGAGTGATTGATGGATGCTTTATGACCAGCTGTTGACATTGGGTAGAAGGACAAACACAGAAGGGGAATCCACCAATCATTTTCCTTACCTTAACTTGCCTGGTGTTAAAACCATAAAGATAGTACCCCTCTCTGACCTCATTGTCAAGGCGGAATACATAGGTTCAGCAATCAGATCCCGCAAAGCATACCAACAGTAACTGTCAACTCCTCAAGGAGTAGAGAAAAGCACTTTTTACATGGCCATGGGAAGAGCCATTAGACAATCCAAACTGTAAGAGGCTGAGCCCAGTCCTTTGTTTAGAAATCTGTCCTATTTGCCAGAAAGGAAGACCAAGCTAAACCTCTAGGAGGCTTCAGAGAACGTGGGGAGCAGCCTTGTCCATTGTTTTCAGGTTAAAGGGACTTTTGTGTGCCTAATCATGTGCACCATAAGAACCATTTTTGAGCATGCCCATTTTTAGATCAGTGTTTCTCAACCTGGGGAACTTTTAAGCTCCTCGGGTTGAGAAACACATTTTAGATGCCCTCAACATTCCAAACATGTCCACCGATGCAAACAGTTGCTACCTCTGGTCTGGACCAACTATCGCAACTGTTCAGTAATCCAAATCTGAGTTGCTCTTACCTTTCCCAGAAAATATCAAACTGAAAGTGAGGCCTTGTGTGGTAAATGCTCTTCCCTGAGCTACCTTCACTTCCTACTCATTTTTTATCTACTCTAGTCACGTGTAATGAATGGGGTATCAGATTGAACAGCCAGAGAAACAGCAACCATTTTTACCTGACACAATGGAAGTCGACTTGAAAATCTCAGTAAGATAACTGGTGGAGTTTCCAACAATGTCCACCAGCAGCGCTGTAAAATCTAAGAAAGTAAAGAGAAGCATTTTGACATTCCGATATTGTCCTGTCTTCCAATAGAAGAGAATATCTACAGCTCAGGGTTGAACTGTGGAGTTCTTGGTGCTCTCTGAACTTGGCTGTTTGCCTGCAGATGATTCATTACCCAACTAGGTACATTATCAGTGTTAATGTTGTTACCTAGGTAGGTAATGAAACATCTGCAAGCAAACAGCCAAGCTCAGAGAGCATCCAGATCTCCACATTTTCCTTTCCACTGTCAAAAGCAGACATAGCATGGATACAAAGACCCAAAAGACAAGTTGCAATAAACAATTTTTCATAAAACCTATGGACTAAACCTGCTACTTCACTTTAAAAGATAAACTGTCATGGGATCGCTGAACACAGAAGGGAGATGTATAAGCACAGTTGTACTGTTGGAAAAGTTCCTACTTTTTCTCTTTTTAATTGACTTTGATAGCAAGCTATGAACTGGATCTCCTAAACCCCAGGCAGGACTGTCTTGACATAGAAGATCTTCACATAAAATGTCCCTTAAAGTTCTTTTCCCTGAGGGATCATTTGAAAATGTATTTTGCATGGAGAAGGTTTGGTGGTGGTGATGGTTGGAGTGACTTCAAGTAATCAGATATTAACAACCTTAAAGTTCATATACATTGTTTATAGAAATTGTCTTCCTTCTTTAACAAGAAAACAAATGCTAATAGTTACTGAGAGTATAGGACAAAAAACAATTAGGAAGAATGTTCTCATTCTACTGTTCCACCTCTTAGTGTCAACATATTGCCTGTATGGAACAAAAGACTGAGAGATTAGGTCTCTCTTGAATTTCTCCTATTCCATTACTTGCCTGTTAAGTCATTAGTCCTGTTGTTTAAGCAATAGCAGTACCTCATGGAGAACTTTGCAGGATCTATGTTCTTTAAGCTGGATACTGTGAAGAAAAGATGATCATGATGACATGGAACACAGAATCTTATTGGCCAAGGGAACTTGGGTAGGTCCTTATTATCAGATAACTTACTGTTGTAGATGACAATGGAAACTTTGTGGAAGGCATATGAGCTATAAGATACAATGCTCAACAAAGAGAAGAATTCTTTAGTGCCTGTGGAAATATAATTTAAAAGCAATCATCCTACTAATAATTAACGGGTGTAAGGAAACTAATTTTCTATACCTCTTATGTATGGAACTCATGGTTGCTAAAATGGCTCATGAATACTTAGGCACCACGGGAACCCGTATTTCATCTTATTCCCTGAGGTTCTGAGAAAATGTATTCTCTAGAATCCCTGGTGACTGAAGATGTCGCCCTGTCAACAACCCAGAAAGGGATGGAGAATTGCCAGGTAGGATTCAAAGCTGGGTAAATGTTGGGGGGAAAGTGTTGAGGACAAGGATGCTTGTAACTAAATATTTGTGGGGCCTGTAGGAAGAGCAGGTGCACCATTTAGATATTGTCATGCTCCTGTTGATGCCATCAGACCCCTGGCTTTCAAAACAGAGCTATTCTACAATGATTTGGGACTTAGTCCACATTATATTTTCTTCATAAGAACAACCAAGTAGAGGTTAGAGCAGGTTTTTGTCTTGTGGCTTTACTTCCTAGGTATCTTCTCTTTCCCTATTCCCTTGTCTGCCACTTGAATGTAATTCGCCAAAGAAAAGACAATCAAATGAGAAACTACCTTTGAAGGCTGTGTTTAGCATTCCATTCACCATCTCCGTCAGGTTAATCGCTGCCAGATCAACCAATTTTGCAGGCAGCTCTGAAAAAGAACATTATTTAATGCTGACATTCAGTGTTAACCACAGTACCAAACATCTTAGGGTATGCATAATGTCACACCCTAAGTTGTACCCATCATTAGTCGTACCTAAGTTGTACACATCATTATGGTGTGTATAAGGTCACACCCTAAGTTGTACCCATGCCCCATCATGCACAGACCATGTTTTCTTGGATGGAAGAATTGCAAGAACAAAGACCTATTTATCAGATTCCCACCTTGCTGAACCACATTGTGAACAGATGCTTTGTCAGAAAGGTGACCCGAATTCTCAGCTTTGATTTAAAGACTCGGCTCAACAGGCAACAGCACACAGGATGAATATGGACAGTTCCTGATTAGCATGGAAAAATTCCAGGCACTCCCATTAGAGCTGGAAAATGTCCTGCCTAAAACCCTGGAGACCTGCTAGGAAACCGTCTTGTCAATATCGGGCTATATGCAGTAGTGTCTGCAGTATACAGCAGTATAGCACCTTTGCACCCACTTGGGGCATGCATGCAATGTCACAATGCACATAGAAAAGGGTTTGCATCATGACTATGCAACACTGTTTGCATTACTCTGACCCCTTTACCCATCTCCAGAGACATTGCTGCCTATTGGGGCCAGTGTTCTGACTCAATAGACACCCACTTCCTATCTAGCTAAGAGGAACTTCAAAACAATCCTCTTATGGCAGAGAAATTTGTCCAGTTTGTTCTTGAAAGTGGGTTAGCCATCCATTCTACTCTTAAGTATATTTCAGCAAAAGGGGGAGGAGTCTACAGATGATGATGATGATGATGACGAAGATGATGATGATGGAAGAAGAAGAAGAGGAGAAGGAGGAAGAAAAAGAAGAGGAGGAGGAAGAAGAAGAAAGCTAATTTTCCATAAGGAGTTTGTATTCCCAAACCACAAATTTCTGCTTCTGTCTGCTGTCTGGACACACTCCTTCCCATGTGACACAAGAGCCATGGCTATGCATTGTTTCAGACAAAATGGCACTGCAAACCAGAGATGCATATGGAAGGAGGTTGCCCCACCCCCTATGCTGCCTACAAAGGAACAATATGGATTTATAAAATGATCAAATCTCATAGTCCAGCTATGTTGTAGCACTTAGCTGTCCTTGGATGAAAAGCTAAGCAGGGTTGATGGGTAATATTTGGATGGGAGACCACAGAACATTACAGGGCTGTATGGAACATTCCAGGGCTAGAACTGGAAACTAAAAAACAAAAATTCACAAAAATATCATGGCAAACCACTTCATATTTTTGCCAAGAAAGCAACGTGTCCATGAAGTTTCCACAAGTTAATTCAATTTGAAGGAAACTTTACCTTTATGTATTTTAACTGACCTTGGCTGATCTCAAAAAGCTAATCAGGTTCAGTCAGTCAGAACACATCAAGTGCAGACCATGGAACAGAGCAAGACTTATTGTTGTCAAATAAAAGATTAAACTTGTAAGTTTCAACCTAATAGGTGTGCCAACAAGATTTGTCTTGAAGAACATGCCGTCAGGATATAACATCAGTGTAGGAAACAGATTAAGTATGCTTAACCTAAGATAAATAGATAAAAGAACCTGAGGAGCTATGGGAAGGGATGCATCTTTATGAACCTGGAAAAATATTCCCAAATTTTCAAAGAGGAAAAGGTTTAAGCAGCTTTCAGAACAAGTTATCATTATAACTGAAGAAAGACAGGATAACAGCCCTGAGCAACAAGAATGGTGTACAATACAGTAAATAAAGGCAATGTTGAGCAAGAAAGGAGAAGGTAAGATGCCTTCATCAAGAATATCAGCAAGGAGAAGAAAGTACCAAGAAAAGGAAAATGAGCAGTTTTTTAGGTTCAGAGAAATGCCAGGAAAATTGGCAGATAAGGCAGGAATATTCAAGAGTAATATGGAAGAGAACTACTGTAGCAGAAGCAGATCAGATTAAAGGAAGATGGAAAGACTATAGAAAAACAAGGCTGTGTGGCCTAGAGGTTGGAATATAAAGAACAGAACCATCATGGAGAAAGAGATGTCGAAAGAATAGTTGTCACCATATTCTTGGTAATATGATGTAGTTATCATATATCTGCCTGTCTGGAATAAATCAGGATATCTATCCATATTGAAAAAGGGAGATGGAAGAATATGCATAAATTGCACTGATTACTCACATTAGCCAAGTTTGCTTAAGATCTTACAAAGAATAGAGCCGCATATGAAGAAAGGAATGTGAAAACAATAGGTGTCACCATGTTCTTGCTAGTATCATGGAGTTATCATATGTCTGTCTGACTGTCCATCTATCTGTCTAGTTCATACACACAGAAGTGCCATATATTTGTGTGAAGGGATGAATGGACATGTATAAAAGCAGATGTAAATGAGACCCACTTAAAGCAGGTCATAGAAGCAGAAGGTTTTGCAAATCTGGCTGCGTGTCTCTGATGAGTCACTTTGGCAGATGTAAACCATAATCAATTTAGTAGAATAAATTTTGTTACTGCTCATGTGAAAGTCATCCCCGTCGCTAAACTGCCTTGAATGACTAGAATAGTAATTAATACAGTAGTAATAGTAATTCATAGTAATTCATGGTAATAGCAATTCTTGAAGAGACAAGAATTAGAGTGATAAGCGGTGGTAGAAAAATATGATTGTTTGTTTGCAATGTCAATGGGAATAATACTTTTTTTACAGCGCCATTGTTAATTATTATCTAGACACACTACCGTTTGACAATTCTGCCATTTCTAATTCAGAACAAATCTGCAGAAACACAAGGGAAAAAAATGAGTTCTCCAAAAGAATTTACCTGCAGTGGCCATTACAACCATTCTCTCTTCTTTCTTCTTTTCTCCCTTCGTGCTTGCAGCTGCAAAAAATAATAGCAATTTAAGAAATACATCCCTGAAAAAACGTATCCTTTATGTGATTCTCTATTGAAAAAAAAAAGATGATAATGATAATGTATGAAATATCTTATCAGAAAACAATAAAGGTTTTATTAGATGCTGAATCAAAATTATTGCATTAATAATACAATTTTCTGGAAAAAAAGAAATGAACCGAGAGGGGACGCAATTGATCCTTTTTATTCCTACTTCATGTGTTTGACTTCATAAAAAAAAACTAGTTTTAAAAATGAATTGTATCTGCTGAATTGATATATGTTGCCAAAGATAGTTGAATGAAATAATCAGCTTAGGAGGAGAATCTATATCAGAGTTTCTCAACCTTAGCAACATTAAGATGGGTGGACTTCAATTCCCAGAATTCCCCAGCCAGCATGCTGGCTGGGGAATTCT